AGAAGAGTTATATGAGTTATGGGGGACTTAGAGTTGTAAATAGAATGAAAGTCTAATTAGGATCGTTAGATCAATAATCCTCAAATGATCTGAACCGCGAAAAATTAAAAACAACCATCTAACTATTTTTATAATAAATTTTTAGTATTTGGATAAAACATAAACACTTTTGTGAGACCCATGGAGAAGGGTGATAGATTATGGTACAATTGATTGTTTTGCCTCTAACCTTTTCAATTCAACTATGCTTGGTTTATAAATTAGCCTTTAAACAATTCTAAATAAAATTTTCTTACATTTTATGTTTAAAAATGTTATAATTTCATATCTTCTAAACTGATGTTCATATGTTACGGGCACTATTAAGAATTAACTCAACCCTCATTAATTAGTTATTTTATTATAAATAGTTAATTAATCTTAGTCCAAATAGGATTTTGTTTTGTTAGAGTTAGTTTATTATTTGAATTAGTTATTTTGTTGGAGAAGATGTCTTGGTCTTATTGAGGTGTGTCGGCAAAGGCTTGCATTGACAAAACAACTTTATTAAAAAAAAAATTTAGATCCGTGAAAAAACAAGAGGAAGAGACTAAGTAGAATAGCAATTCAGTCATTTACATTAGTTATCTTGTTTAGCAAAAAAAATCCCAACCTCCCCTCCCCGAGGTTACATTTAACCCATGTAGATGGATTACAGTTGACTTTTCAAATCAGATTGGAAAAAATTGAAATAGGACTTTGGATATATTTTTTACTTACCAAACGTGATATATATGAGCCCCACTTACTTTTTTATCATATCCTATCAGGGTTATCCCTACTTAATCCGCAATCCTAGTATACCTTTAAGGGTCAACCACCCTTATTTCTCAGGAGACATGTCATTACACTAGCTTGAGTTACGGTGATATACTCAGACTTCAAAGGAGTAGTCGGTGCAAGTCTAGACTCAAAAAAAATAAATAAGATAAGCTTGGAACCCATAGCAAAAACTTTAAGTATTTATTTTGTACGATATTTTGAATATTTCAGGTTACATTGCCACTTATTAGTCCATCTTATTTAAGTACAACACATGAATACAATAAATTGCAATTGTTGAATCATTTCAAACATATTAACATACAAAATTATAAACCAGGAATTTGGCAACTTTCCTTCCAATCTAATCAAACGTGAACATTTTCACAACTAAACCAACGAGAACACGTTATCATTGATTTACATCAATAATCCGACAGCACAATCATACATTAACAAACAGATTCCCCTTTTCAATTGTTGTTATGGTGCAAAATCTTTCTTTGCATCCCCAACGAGCTTCAGCCATGAGCTTTTATCGAAATAGGAACATACATTTTGTATCTGCTTGAAATTGCAAGACTGACTATAGTTCCAATTTCGATGCCATATTAGAAAATTTGAATAAATTACGAGGTAAATTTACAACTCAAATAAATTTAAAATATGATTCAAATAGGTTAAAATTATTACTCAACGTGGTTTCAAAAAGTTAGATTGATTCAAAAATGTTGGGATTATCTCCAATCTATATCACTCAGTCATCAATTGACCCAACTGAGTCATAATTTTGGGTACCGTATGAGAAGCAATTTTTAACACCATCATCTTTGTGTAACATTTTATTCTCTAAAAAGTATCTACAAACTAATTAGCCTTAGCTTAATTGGTCACCTTGAATCTCGTATGATTTTACTTCCAAAAGGTCATTAATTCTTGTCAGAGGCAAAAACTTGAGGCGTTAAATTTGCCACTTTACCCTTTGGACTAGGATAGGCGTTTCGATCGAGTCTTCTACCAATACCAATACCAATACCCCAAGAGATTCTATTGATTTCTGGAGATTAGAATATAACTCAACACGTGAGAATACTTTCGTCTGTAATGCAATAATGCATTTAAAAATCTATAATGCCACTTAATAACACCATAAACATATAAACTATATAACAGAGTACACAACGATGTCGCTTATATCAAAACAAAAGATTAGGGATACCATCCCTTTATAACAACATGAAAAAATAAACACACCTGTACAAAATGTACATAAGCAGCTTCCTTAATTTTCCCTCATTTATATCATTCTAATGTAGTAGTGGACCTTATTCTAGATTTTGACATCCTAAAACTAATAATTTTCTTGAGTGTATTGAATATCATAATCAAATGAAATATAACAAAAATATGAATCAAATATAATTCCACCAAAAAGGTACTTACCACCCACTTCTCCATCCAAGTGAACTCAACTTACTTTAAAACTCTAATCAACCTCATATCACTACAAGAAAAAGTGGTTTTGAAGGCGGAGTATTTCCGACAGAATTGTTTTGCCATCTTAAATAGTTTTTTTTTTAAATTATTTTTTATGATAGCAATGAAGGCTGCCTCAAGTGGTTTTTGAGACGGATTATTGCGACAACATTGTTTGACCATCATAAGTAGTTATTTTTTTAATTATTTTTACGGTAGCAATGAAAGTTGCCTCAAATATAGAGTTTTTCCACCATGGCTGTCTCAAATACAAAGTTTTTCCCACCACGTGGTTGGCAAAAAAATCCCGCCATGGCTATATTTGGCATCAATAGACACTTACATTTTGGCGAGAAACATAATCGTCTGTAATTAAATAATATTTTATTTAATGATTGATTTAAAAGAGGCGTTATTTGGAGATAATATTAGTTCGTGAAATTAAATAAAAAAAATTTGGTGGCAACAGCTTTTTGTTGCTAATAAAATTTTTAATTTTTAATTTATCTTTTAAAGACAAATAATTTGGCAAGGAATATTCATAATCTCCAAAAATAATAATAATAAAAAAATGGGTCTCCCGCCTTCCCCTTTTCCTCTTTTTTCTTTATTTTTCTTCTTCCCTTTTTTTTTGTTCTCTCTTCCGGCCGCTAGTCTCTCTCTTTAAGTTCTAGTGCAATTCCTCTCCCACAAGGCTCCTGTGCAATTCGCTCTCCCCCAAAAGGGCTCGTGCAATTCATCCAAAGAAGGTATTCTCTCTCTCTCTCTCTCTCTCACACACACACACACACAATAAATTAAAAAAACTAGTTTTTGTTGTCTTCTTCTCTAGCCATCACTACAAGAAAAAGTATTTTTACCTACAAAAATTTTCCCTAGAAAATTAATTTCATAGGTAAATGTGTTTTATAACAAGGAAAATATAATTTCCTTGGAAATATTTTCAAACTTAATCTCAAAAATATTTTCCTACAAATTTAGCTTTGCAAAATTTGCTGTTGATAGAAGGAAAGAAAAATTATTTTGCAATTTTTTGATATTTTTCAATTTAGGCGACAAACTAATTTCGGTTGGTAAAATAAAAAAAAAATTTGAGACTAACGGAAGAATTTATTTCGTAGGTAAAGGTGATTTGTTACTAAAAGGTGTGGTTTAAAGGATTACTATGACAAATCAAGCTTTTGGCTAAGAAAACTTTCCTAGGGAAAAAGCTTGTAGGTAAAAGTTATTTCCAATGAAAACTTTCGCCTCTACTTTCAGGTTTTAACGAGGATTATTTTCGTTGGCTATTCTTGCGTATTTCACAGCGGGAAAAGGACATTATAATGCTTTTACCTAGGAAAATCGAGGAAAAGCTACAAAAATGCTAGCCTTTTATTTAGGAAAATATTTCCTAGGTAGCAGCATTATCTCTATTTTTATTTCAAAAAAACATTAAATTTATACATATTAAAGCACCTACAACTTTTATATAACATACCACAAATTTTGGACTATCAAATTTGAAAATTTACTTTTACTACAAAAAAAAGGTTTTGTTTACACTATAATTTAAGTTATAGTAGTTAAAATAGATCTTCGTTGATTATTTCTTAAATAAGGGTAACTTGTGCCTGAAGGCACGGTATAATGAGAATTATTTTGAGAGAAATGTTGGTGATCATTTGATGAGTCTATTTGACACTGTTATATAAACTTATTGAAATCTATCCTGTTTTATATTACAAATTCTATGCTTTGGTGTTTTTAGATTTCGTGTTCTGATATGGTTTTACCACTTTGGTCATTTGTTTTTTTTTCCTTTTTTCTTTTTTATGAATACATACAAGGGTATACGTGTAAATTCTAAATATATTTTATCAAGCATTATACTGCAATCACAAGAGTAAAAAAAACCAACATGTTTGCGGCATCAGTTTTAGTTAGATCGATAATCATCCACTCCTCCAAAAGTTAGACCTTTTGGAGATGATGATTTGTTCTTTTTTCCTAAGAACGAGATGGTTAACCAAATTTAGAGTTCGTTTTTCATAAATAGGTTTGACTCTCTCAAGAGTTAGTGGACTTACTTGAAGCTCCAAAATAGACCAACGACCACAATACAGGAAAAATAGTGTGTGCGTAAGAGAGAGAAAGAGAGAGAGAGAAGATTAACAAAGAGGGAACATTATCATTGCCCCATATTTAGCCATAATATTTAAGGTTTGGTACAACACATGGCGACTACAATGTCTATTTGTTGAATTATTCCGACTACAATAGTACCATACTAGATAATTATCAGTAATTTGGAATGTGTCATCCTTCTAACCTAACCAATCGTAGGGACAGTGATAACGGTGCCGCTACAGTCAATCACGATGTTAACCCTGTTGCAGCTGAAATCTAGGGGAACGGGGCAAGTCATATACACAATGATAGTAGCAACCAATGAATTCTCCCTTTCAATTATTTCAGCTGCATCTTGTGCTCGCGTCCCAACAAGTTCTGGCCATGAACTCTTACCTGAATCATTAAGCACAGAAAAAAGTACTAGTCGAATTAGATTACTATATTATCTGCTTAGAATTGAAATTCTAAAAGAACTCTTAGCAATAGAACTTAGAAAAGAGCTCTTTACCTTGACAAATTAAATCCATCCCAGGTGTTATGCTTTTTCCTTAGCTTGCTTTCTGAACTGGCTGTGATGAAATGGGTTTTTTCCGATAAACATGGCTTTATAACTTTACAGACGAAAGAGAAAAATAGAAGTATAGCAAAGGTCCATGAGTAAAACATGTGTATGTAGTAATCGAAGTCTCGTAGACTGTGAATATTACCAAGTAGTTGTGGCTTTGAAAAGCAGAGGATAGTACAAAGTTAGGCAGCATTGATGAAAGACAAATCCATGAAATTCTCGTGCAATGTCATGGTCGTAATGTATTATGAAGTACTGAAAAGATTCTAGTTTTGGGTTTAAATTCCAAATATATATATTGGGCATTTTTTTTATTGAACTCCTCTTATCTCACAACTAGTAGTATTAGAGTCATTCTTCGGATTGAAAAAATAGATAGGTAGATCAATCACTCTATAAATCCGTTAGGGAGCATTGTCCCCAGCACCACACAATTATAGAGACTCCATTGTACTTACGTCGAGACCAAAACTATAAGTCTCAACACGTGCTTTGAGTTGAAGAGTAAGTTTGGCCTCACCAAATATCGTAGTTGTAGAGACTTGAACCCAAGTATTGAATGACAAAATTTAAGTTCTTACCTATTGGACCACTCTAAACTAACTAATTCCTTTAAATATGCATTTTATGCACCAGTATACTAAGTTGAGGGAGATGATGTGAGATTGGGGGGCTTTGGTTTTACTCTATGTTTTATTCATTTTTAAGAGACTAAGTTGTCCCGCCTACACCTAAAAGAAGGGAATGGATACCTATAAGTTGTGATTAGGATTGAGTTTAGATTTTAGACCGAGTCAATTCTTCGTCACTTTATTTTCTCCATGGGAATCTTATGACAAAACTCGAACTTCTGATTCTTTGTGAGATTCATCGAGTCTTCACGATAAATTTTTCTCGTTTCATAGTTTCAACTTTGATATTATACGTATATTACACATGCATGTTTAACTCAAGCTTATGGTACGACAAATTTGTGGTTCTTGTTGCTGTCTGCCAACTAGAACGTTCAGCTAACTTAGAAAGCCTATTTGTACAAGAATTTTAATGGAGGCAATTAAACTTCAGCTAACTAGAAAGTTCAAAAGAAAGCCAACTACAAGTTGTGATGTTTTTAGTCTACAAAGTAAACATAGAGGATGGCATTAGAGTTTCGAGATAAATTATACCAGTTCTATTCCAAAGTATACTTTTCCAGCTTTTTATTTTTTTGCAGGTATTTTTCAAGTTTCAATGTTGTTAGAGTATGTGTGGCTCATATTTGCTGTGTGCATAATGGCAAGGAGGTAGATGCCGGAGCGGAGCCCGCGACGGCATCTGTCTTGTGGGATTTGTATAAAGGGGACGTTGATTAGTTGGGGGTGCGGGGGCAACGCCCCCGCGGTACGGTACAGGAATTTTTGTAAATACGTCCGTATTAGGTTATATAAATACTTAAGATGTAACCCTACTTTTAATAATGAAATAGAACGGCCGCTCGCTCTCGTGGATATAGGCACATTGCCAAACCACGTAAATCTCTGTGTGTTATTTTTCTCTTGCTTTCTTAATTGTTTGATTCCTTACTATTCACCATAATTGCTGCACGATCACAACAACTGGTATCAGAGCTAGACTACGATGTCTGGGATTTCCTCTACAAAATTCGACATCATGAAGTTCGACGGAACTGGAAATTTCGGATTATGGCAGAGGAGGGTGAAGGACCTGTTAGTGCAGCAGGGCATGGTGAAGGCGTTATACGGAAAACAACCGGCAGGAATGGACGACATGGATTGGAAAGAATTGGAAGCGAAGGCTGTGGCGACTATTAGGCTTTGTCTAGCTGATGAAGTGATGTATCACGTCATGGATGAGGAATCACCGGCAAAAGTTTGGTTGAAACTGGAAAGTCGGTATATGTCCAAGTCGTTGACGAACAAGCTCTATCTTAAGCAGAAACTATATGGTCTTAAGATGTCAGAGGGCTCGGATTTGACCCAACACATCAACGTGTTCAATCAGATCATCAGCGATCTGAAGCGAGTTGATGTGAAGTTCGAAGACGAAGACAAGGCGCTGATGTTGCTGAATTCCCTACGGCGTCTCCTACGTACGAGAATTTGGTTACGACTCTGATGTGGGGGAAAGAAACCCTCGAGTTGGAGGATGTCACAGGTGCTCTGTTAGGTTTTCATCAGCGGAAGAAAGCCAGTGATGAGGCTTCACAAGGTGAAGGGCTTGTGGTGAAAGGTAACCAGGAACGTGGAAGAAGCAAATCTCGGAATGGATCGGGTAACAATAAAGCCCGGTCCAAGTCGAGGAAGAAGAAGAAGGACATCTCCGTCTCGTGTTACAAGTGCGGGAAAAAGGGGCACTTTAAACGGGACTGTCCAGAGAAAAAGAAAGGGGATTCAGAGGACAAAGAGGGTGCATCAAAGTCTGCAAACGTAGTGGAAGAAGAAGATTCAGAGAGTGGTGACGGTGATATGCTTTTTGTTTTATCTAGTTCAGATCGTTTAACAGATTCTTGGATTATGGATTCAGCATGTTCCTATCACATGACACCCAACAAAGATTGGTTTGACACCTACAGGTCAGTAAATTCTGGTTCTGTTCTGATGGGTAATGATGCATCTTGCAAAGTTGTTGGAATAGAAAATATTAGAATTAAGATGTTTGATGGTATGGTTAGAACGTTGTGTGATGTTAGACATGTACCGGATCTAAGGAAGAATTTGATTTCATTGGGCATTTTGGATTGTAATGGTTATAGTTACAAATCTATAAGTGGAGTAATGAAAGTGAGTAAAGGCATGCTGATAGTGATGAAGGGACAGAAAGTAGCAGGAAACATTTACAGACTACTGGGTACTATAATTGTAGGTGGAGTTGCTGCTGTAGAGTCTGAATCAGATAATACAGTCTTGTGGCATATGCGGCTGGGTCATATGAGTGAGCGTGGGATGATAGAGCTTCATAAGAAAAATCTATTGAAGGATGTCAAGACATGCAAGCTCAATTTTTGCAAATATTGTGTTCTTGAAAAACAGAATAGGGTGCAGTTCAATACAGCCACACACAAGACAGATGGGGTTCTCGACTATGTCCATACAGATGTTTGGGGACCAGTTAGCGTAGTATCACGGGGAGGATACATGTATTTCGTGAGTTTCATTGATGATTACTCACGAAAGGTCTGGGTGTACTTCATGCGGCACAAGTCAGAAGCGTTTGCCAAGTTCAAGCTGTGGAAAGCTGAAGTAGAGAACCAGACAGGGAGGAAGATTAAATGCCTCAGGTCAGATAATGGTACTGAGTACACAGATTCAAAGTTCTAGGAGTTGTGTGAGCAGCATGGGATCAAGAGACACTTCACAGTCCGCAAGACACCACAACAAAATGGTGTAGCGGAAAGGATGAACAGAACGATAGCCGAGAAAGCTCGGTGTCTCAGGTTGAATGCAGGGCTTGCAAAGAATTTCTGGGCAGAGGCAGTGAATATGACATGTTTCTTGATTAACAGATCACCGAGGGCAGCACTAGATGGGAAAGTATCAGAGGAGGTGTGGACAGCAGTGAGGTAGACTACTCTGGTTTGAGAGTGTTTGGATGTCCAGCTTATGTACATGTTTCTAGTGAGGAGAGGTCGAAGCTTGATGCGAAGTCTAGACAGTGTATCTTTCTGGGATATTAGAAAGGAGTGAAAGGCTTCAAGCTCTGGGATCCGAAGGCAAACAAGATGGTGATCAGTAGAGATGTGTTTTTGATGAAAAAGCCATGTTGCAGCGTACTTAGGAAGAAGAGAAACAAGTACCAGAAAACTGTAGCACTAATGACCATGTGGTGCAGGTGGAGCTAGAGAATCATGGTAGAGAAGAGGATGCTCAGCATGTAGAGCGTTCTATCTCAGGTGATCAGCAGCATCATAGTATAGCCACAGACAGGCCCAAACGCAATATCAAGCCGCCTACCAGGTATGGTTTTGAAGATTTGGTTTCTTATGCGCTTATTACTAGTAGCGGGGATCCTACAACTTTTCAGGAGGCAGTACAAAGCCAAGAGAAAAGTAGATGGATGGGTGCTATGGTGGAGGAGATGGAGTCTCTGCATAAGAACCAGACGTGGGAGTTGGTGGAGCTTCCCGAGGGGAAGAGAGCAATAGGGTGCAAATGGGTGTATAAGAAGAAAGAAGCAGTATCAGAAAAGGAGGGAGAAAAATTCAAGGCTCGTCTAGTAACAAAGGGTTACTCACAGAGAAAAGGGGTTGACTATGATGAGATCTTCTCCCCCGTGGTCAGACACATTTCCATCAGGACAGTGTTGGCACTAGTAGCACATTCAGATATGCAGTTGGAGCAGATGGATGTAAAGACAGCTTTCCTTCATGGCGACTTGGAGGAACGGATTTACATGGTACATCCAGAAGGGTTCAGTCTCCCTGGAGAGGAATATTTGGTCTGTAATTTGAAGAAATCACTTTATGGGCTGAAACAGTCTCCGAGGCAGTGGTACAAGCGATTTGACTCTTACATGATCCGAATTAGCTACAAAAGGTGTAAGTATGATTGTTGTGTCTATGTAAAAAGGCTTGATGATGATTCATTTATTTTTCTGTTACTTTATGTGGATGATATGTTGATTGCTGCCAAGAGTATGAGTGAGGTCAACAAGTTGAAGACTTTGTTGAGTAGAGAATTTGACATGAAGGATTTGGGTGCGACCAAGAAGATTCTTGGGATGGAGATTCGCAGGGACAGAGCTTCCAGGAGATTATGGCTATCTTAGCATAGCTATGTTGAGAAGGTGTTGGACAGGTTCATGATGAGTTATGCAAAATCAGTAAGTACACATTTGGCGAATCATTTCAGATTGTCTACCGCTCAGTGTCCGAAGACAGATGATGAAGTTCATGACATGTCAAAGGTCCCATATGCTAGTGCAGTGGGGTGTTTGATGTATGTTATGGTTTGTACAAGATCAGAT